TCTAAAGCCAACTGGGCATCATTTTACTCTTCTCCACAGATGCCCCTGGTTTAGAGACAGAGCCCTGGGGGAACCAAGCAACCACTGAAGTGCAGAATAGCAAATGCTCTGCTTGCCTTCTCTTGCCACACCTGTGAGGTGTGTGTCTCTCACACCTTCTAAATGCTCTGTGTGTTTGTTGCATTCACAAATTAACAAGCATGGTTGAGCACCTATCCTTAGGACCGAAACTCTCCTGGAAGTTGCTAGGTGGGGTGGAAGAGAGGAACCAGAAAACCACATAGGTATAACAGGGCGTAATTGATCAACCATTTCTTGATTATGCCATAAATTGCAGGTTTCACTTGATGTGTTCCAGGCCCAAGAGCGCCCTCTGCTGGTTAATGTTTCAATTGTTAAAGATAGTTATGCTCTGTAAAGATAAGTTTTTATTTAAGATTCAGAGAGTGAGTTATGTGGAATGCTTTATTTTGGCTGTGCATTGTTTGAATAAGGCCTGAGAATAAGGCTTGTTTTAAAATAAGCACGCCTGGACAGTATATAGCACTTACTTTTGTAATCTGGAGGCATACAGTAATACTTCCTGTCTTGTGCTCTGCTGCTCATGTGGCAATTTGCCAGGAAGAACATTATTTCCATTTGATCTGAACAAAGGACATCCCTATTCAGCCAGCCCACTGTGGCCGCACCCAGTTCAGCATCTTTCACAACAGGGACCAGGCAGGAAATGTCTTAATGTCTCACGTTTTTTCTCCAGCAGCTCATCTTCAGGAAAATGAGAGTCAGCAGAGTGATCCTTGGGAGCAAGATAGGAGGAGGTGTGTGAGAGGGAGGCCCAAGCCGCTTGTTCCAGTTTGATCTCTTTCTTAGGAAGATGCCACTGAGCCCGGTTTTATTCTAAATGCTCACCAATTTATAGCTTTTCAAGGATATTCCATTAATTTCTCAATCCCGCCCACCTGCCATATCTATGCCATCATCTTGTTTCTCTCAGCTTTGCCAAACATAATCAGTCCATCATCTGCTCACATCACATGCCCAAAGTATCAATGGAAGAGAATCAGGGGTGAAATCCAGCAGGTTCTGACAGATTCTGCAGAACCGGTAGCAGAGATTTTGAGCAGTTCGGAGAACCAGAAAATACCACCTCTGGTTGGCCCCAGAGTGGGGTGGGAACAGGGATTTTGCAATATCCTTCCCCCTGGAATGGGGTGGGAATGGAGATTTTGCAGAATCCTTCCTCTGCCACGCCCACCAAGCCATGCCCACCATTGGATTAAACCCTGAGCTGTATATATATAGCTCAGGGCTTAATCCAATGGGTGTCCCTTGGCATCCTCTGAGCTTGGTTGGTTGTTTACAGACATTTCATTACCCAATTAGGTAACATCGTCAGTGCTAGTAAGGATGGGGTTTACTTCCTTTTTTTTTATACAGTAGCTTGCCCTGCTGTGTTGGTAGGGATGTGGTTTTCTCCTTGATAGTTCTTTCATTGGGGACTGTTTTCTGCTTGATTTTTTTTCTGGTGTTAAAGCCTACTTATTGGTTGCTGGAGAGGATGTTTTCTGGTATTTTTGTTTCCTTCTTAGCTTTTCGATTGTCTCTTTTGAATATTGTGTAAATGTGATTTATCTTTCTGAACTTTGGAATGCCAAAGTTCTAGGAATTCTCTAACATCTTTGGATTTAGTTGGGTTTAGGATGCTCAGTTTTCCAGTTGTGAAATTAAAGAGTTTCTATTATGTCATCCAACTGCTAGTTGCTATTCATGGATGTGCTCTGCTAGTCTTTTGCCTGCCTGTCCTACAAAGTGGCTGTTACAATCTTCACACTATATTATAGATTCTGCCTGTTCTTATTTCCATCAAAGTAAAAGTAGGTCTCAGGCAGAGGTTGATAAAGTCTGTGGTTCTGGGTATTTCAATCTCGGTATATTTGGCTCGGTCGGGTGTGTTGTGTAGCTCTGTTGCCATGGATTCTTTTGCTAGTTCTGGATCTATAGGTATAAAGGATACTGTGACATCAAATGTAATGATAATTTCATCTTGAATTTTAGTTGGAAACACTGTCAAAGATCTATAAATAGAAGATAAAACTATCATTTCATTCAATGACAAAGCATCCTTTGTGGCTGGTTGTCCCTTAAGTGTCCACTGGTAGCTTGGTAGATAAATACAAACATTGCTTACACCTCTTTGCTTAATCTGCAAGTATCAGTAAAGGAGCTAAAGTGGAAAGACTGGCAAAGTGAGAAGAAGAAAGCATTGGGGCTCGTCAGATGTTTGGTGCTGTTGATGGAGAATCTGATGTGCTTCAGTCCAGTGAAGTCTGCAAATTATAAATAATTGGAAAAATGGTCTGAGCTGCTGTTGGGTGAGTCACTTCTGAATTCAGTGGTCGGGGCCCCAGGAGACCCCTGTTGAAAATTGGAATGGCTGCTTCCTCCATGGAGCTTTTAGGTTCAGTGACAGTATATTTCTGGGTTAAACCTGACAGGGTTGGGGGGAGAGGATTCTTTGGCAGACAGGATCCCAACCTGAATGGCCCTTTGACTTCATCTAGAGCCATGGTGGCGCAGAGGTTAGAATGCAGTACTGCAGGCTACGTCTGCTGACTGCCGGCTGCCAGCAGTTCAGCAGTTCGAATCTTGACTCAGCCTTCCATCCTTCAGAGGTCGGTAAAATGAGGGCCCAGATTATTGAGGGCAAGAGGCTGACTCTGTAAACCACTTAGAGAGGGGCTGTAAAGCACTGTGAAGCAGTATATAAGTCTAAGGGATATTGCTATTGCTATCTTGCAACAGAAAAAACTCATAAGCTTGGACAAGAGAAATATGGGAGTGAATGCAAAAAAATGTCAAAATAACCAAACAATTTCCCACATGGTATTAACTTTTTCAGTTTCTTTTCACTGACTTGGAGTTTTCCCAGGGGTGGGTTCTACTTACCTTTACTACTGGTTTGCTATGGGAGCGTGCGCACACACGCTTTTGCGCATGCGCAGATCATCCGGGCCGGTGGGCGGAGCCTCCCACCGCTTTTACTACCGGTTCTGAAGAACCGGACAGAACCGGGAGCAACCCACCACTGAGTTTTCCATACCACTTGTTGGAAATTTTCAGGAAGACAACCTGTTTTCTTAAAAGAGAGATTCTCATACATCTCATATTCTAAATCAGATTCTAAAAGAAAGTTCTTATTCCTTTAATCAGCCTGTAAAACTTCTTTTAATTTGAGAAGTACAGAAACTTCCTTGGTTCATGTTGATTTTCTTTGTTTTAATTTGTTTTAATTTTATTTAGAACAAAGTTAAAATACAAAATAAAAAACTCAATAAAAATCCAAGAAGACATCAAAGAAAAAAAACCAAAACAGAATATTTTTTAAAAGGTGCATAACCCCCCCCCCCCAAAAAAAGAATACATTACAGGTAATCCTAGAGGTATAGAGCCTGCCAATTACATTTGTAACCTGAGGATTCGTTAATTGGACCTCGTTAAGTGAACATGATCCCTCCCTGCTTTATCCAATGCATTCTCTAATCAAATGTGCAGGTTGTTACGTGCACATGAGTATCTCAGGGTGGGGAAGACCATGCGGGGCCTAGTGCTGGAACAGGCCACCCAAGGCCTCCCCGACCCGCTGAGATACCTCACGCTCACTTACAATCTCTTGGGGTCCCCATAGTTGCTCCCCCTCACTCACATACACACCCCAGTCTCCCCAGGCACTGGGCCTGCTTTGCTAGCCTCCTGGATTCCACTTGCTCCACCCCATTTCCCATTGTTTACTTACTTTTAGAAGATCTCCAGAATTCCAGAACATGTGGCAAAAAAACCAAAGTCTTTTATTCAGATGCTGGTGAAGCTTTAAGAACGTGACATCTAAGGAAAACAACTGAATAATTTTCTGAAAAGGTGGGTCAGCCTGTTTTGGAACTCTGGAGATCTTCTAAAAGTAAATAAACAATGGGAAATGGGGTGGGGAGCAGCAGGTGGAATCCAGGAGGCTAGAAAAGCAGGCCCAGTGCCTGGGGAGACCCGGCAGGGCAGGATTATCATCTTTTAAGGACCCCATAATCCCTTGTGGGATGGAGTCTGGGCAACTGAATGGAGCTAGCAGAGTGTTTAATGGCCGGATGCCTTTCCTGTCGCCAATGCAGAGTTTTGTTTGGCAGATATATTCTCATTGTGCCCAGAGAGAGAAATATCTGCCTCCACCTAGGATTGAATGAAGCAGGATGCAGGGGTGGGTGGAGAATAGGCAGAGGACATGTTGCAGCATCTCTGCAGTCCGTGGTAAGGGAACGACTGCTGTGGTGCTGCAATATACATAACTTCAAGACCGGGTCGTAAGTACTTTTTGGGGGGAGGGGGGAGGGTGTCATAATTTTGAACGGTCAGTAATTGAACTGTCATAACTCAAGGAATACCTCTATATACATATTATCCCTTCTAGCTGAATACCGATTAATATAGTACTACAATTGGTTCCCACCCCTTGCAGAACAGACGCTCCCAAAATGTTTAAGCTATTAAATCTATTAGCAACTTGTTGACCTGCCTTCTATATGCTATATTAATGACAAAAAGTGGTTAGCAGGAAAAACAATAACAGTAAAACAGAACAAGATTAAAGTTTCAAACTTCTCTGTTAACAAGCTGTTACTGTAATTCACTCGTAGAAAATTTACCATGCCACTTTAACTATCCCAGATCATTCCAAAAGTTATAAATAGATTGTCGGGTCAAAAATCCATGTTTGCTTCTTAATATCCTCTCTTGCTCATTGTTGTTTAATTGAATGTAATGAATTCAGTCTCCAGAATATGTCTATCTTTGAGTCAGAGTGGAAAGCAGAAGTAGTTACCTGTTAACTGTAATAAATCCATCCAGTCTCCTTCATGTTGATTTTCTATTGATAAGAGTCAGTTATCTTATTGAAGGTTAGGGTTTGATGATTTTCTTTGATGATCTTTGGTGTTTGATTGTTCTTATTACAGACTGGCCGAATTGAACCAAACTACCCCAAAGTCTGTGGCCACCAAGGCAACGTACTTGATATTAAGTGGAACCCCTTCATTGAAAACATCATTGCTTCTTGCTCAGAAGACACTTCAGTAAGTAAGGATGATGGCATAAACAATATTTTGGGGAGCTAACTGTTGGAAGGTGATAAACTGGGATCTTTTCATATTTGGTGAACCTCTTCCTTTGTGATTTACAGCAGGGGTCTCCAACCTTGGCAACTTTAAGACTTGTGTACTTCAACTCCCAGAGTTCCTCAGGCAGCAAAGGAATTCTGGGAGTTGAAGTCCACAAGTCTTAAAGTTGCCAAGGTTGGAGACCCCTGATTGACAGGACATTCAAGAGGCAGTCATCAATTGCTGACTTCCAGGGTTTTCCTGGCGCTACTTTTCTTAGGCTATAAAAGATCTGAAAGCAACTGATCTGAAATAATTCCAATTTAAAAAAAAAACATGTGTAATAGTCGCAAAATAGTCATTGTATTCCATCGTGGTTTATAACATTCTTACATCACTATGACAAGAAAAGGACAATTGCAACTTTAAAAATAGCAGTTGTGTAGATTTAAAAAAAGAATTTACTCAGCAGCAGCTCAGGTCCATTGCGCTGGAAGAGAGCTAGAAAAGAAGCACAAAGCCTCAACTTTGTCATTGGAGTTGCCACCTGGACTTTTTGACACCCTTCGCCTTTGCAAGCTTCTGTGATGCTTCTCAGACATCGCTCTGGAAGAGAACCCGAGGCCTCCCGTGTTCAGAGGAAGATCAGGCCTGAGATTCTAACCCTCACCCAAACCCTCACTTCTAGCGGGGCCCAAAAGCCAAACCACAGCCAGCAGCTGCATAAGACCAGAGTCACTGGTTTCCCTCTTAGGTTTCTGGCTCACCAGGGCCTGAAGGGGGCTACACTTCCTCTCCCCGTTTTATCCCCCCACAAAGAACTGCAAAGTAGGCAAGGCTGAGAGAGACACCCAGGTGCTGCAGGCCTGGTCTTCCATATCTTGCACCTTAACTTGCTCCAGTTCTGCGGGGGCTGTGGCTGCTCCGATTGGCTGGGTACTCCAAGGCTTCAGCACCAATTCCTGCTCAAACCATCCCCGGGATGGAGAAAAAGTGGGATGGAGAAAAAGTGGGATGGAGAAAAAGTGAGTGGCACCAGAGCTGGCTTAGTGGAAGTGACTCTCCCTGCCCCCCACTTTTCTCTGTCAAGTAATCCCCGCTTCCTTGGTCCTCCTCCGAGGTTTTAAATATTGGTGGCATTTCTAATGTGATTTACACATTTGATATTTAACGGCATTAAAAAAATAATTGGTTTTGTGAAAAACAATGTACGAGCTTGTTTACACATGTTGCACAAATAACTGAGAGGTGAGAGTTGAAGTCCTTGGAGAAGACCGGGGCTTTGGTACTTCTGTTTCTCCGCCTTCCCTGCCTCGTGGGACCCCTCGGCAAAGTGAACCATCCTCCTCCTCTCTCATCATTCGGCACTTGATCTTCCTGGGCACCAAGGTGATGCCCCCAGTCCAACCATGGAAGTCATTTCAAAGCAGTTAGAAGGCAGAGCAGAAGAGACCCTGCTTGAAATGAGAGGCAGCTCCCAGTGGGTAGAATGCGGTATTGCAGGTGAACTCTGCCCACTGCCAGGAGGGATCCTGTCAGGGCTCCAGGTTTTTTTTTTTTTTTAATTTGATTTATATGCCGCCCTTCTCCGGAAACTCAGGGCGGCTTACAATGTGTTAAGCAATAGCCTTCATATTTTTGTATATTTATACAAAGTCAGTTTATTGCCCCCACAATCTGGGTCCTCATTTCACCTACCTTAGAAAGGATAGAAGGCTGAGTCTTACCTGGTGAGAATTGAACTTATAGTAATTGCAGACAGCTTGATGTTAATAACAGTTAATAACAGTGCTTTAGTCTGCTGCGCCACCAGGCTCATCCTTCCATCCTTCCGAGGTCGGTAAAACGAGGATCCAAATCGTTGGGGGCAATGTGCTGACTTCATAAACCCCTCAGAAAGGACTGCAAAGCACTGTGAAGTGGCATGTAAGTCTGCTACTGCTCTTATCAGGAGCCTCCGGGGCTTGAAGATCAGGGACCTTCCAAGGAGTCAGAACAATGAAAGAAGATGCAGCCATTTGTGACTTCAGTTAGCTTGCCAAGGCGCCTCTTTTTCCCAAGCATTTGCTGGCAGGCAAGAGGTGATGCTCTCTGCCCAGGGAGTTCACAGGTTACAATTTCGGACAGATCAGCCATTCCCCCCATCCAAAGCCTGGTGTGATCGCTCCCAGTAAAGGAGGCGGTTGCCTTAAAAAGATGGGCCTTTTAATTTCTGCCCTCCCAGGGATATTCACAGGGGACAAAACATTCACAGTGGCAGCCATGACTGTGTGATCCTACCATGCACACAGCACGTGTAAAAATGGATAGTGACCATTGCATGGTAGTGGGCACCGTTTGGATTTTTTAAAAACTCCCCCACAGATGCCCCTGTGCCAACTCCTGGATGGTCTCCTTTGCAGTCTTTGAATAACGATGGCAGGCCAGAAAGACTTGAACCGGCATCTCGTGGTGCAGGATAAATTGTTCCTTGTGCTCCTGGCTTTTCTTTGAAGTCCCTCCTGCGCTGGAAGCTCCAAACTGGGCTACTGAGTTGGACGGGGCCAGCCTTTGGCAAAACTCGAAGCAATGGGCTTTTGGACCAGAATTTATTAAATAAACCAAAATGAGTTGAGTCCCACCCCAGCTTAAATCATGCACCGTGCCTTTCAAATCATGAGGCGTGGATTCATGGAACTCGGTAAACCGGAAGCCAGCGGGCCATGAAGTGCTTTCATGCTTGTGTGAAGTTGGCTACTTTCCTGCTCTGAGAGCTGCTGCAGCAGATCCTCTCCCCCCCCCCTTCTCAAGGTCACTTGCCTCCCTGCAGCAAAGGGAAGCTGGGGCTCAAAGTAAGTGATTGGCACATGCACAAAGAGGAAGAGGAGGAAGAAGAGCTTCCCAGGGAGCACAACTGGGCAAGCGGTTTGTCCCACTCTGGCTGGCAGGGCTCCTTCCTTCCTTCCTTCCTTCCTTCCTTCCTTCCTTCCTTCCTTCCTTCCGTCTGTCCGTCCATGGACAGCATCTGCAAGTCTTAACCAAAATACTGTTGAATTATCAGAGGATCAGGTACGGTATAAAGGAATCCAGTGAGACACCTGGGGGAGGAAGGGAAATCTCCAGAGACCAAGGTTTTTCAGGGGATCTCTAAGTTTCCAGGAAGTCAAGAGCCTTGGTAGTACAGTGGTCTAAGGCACCCTGTTATTAAGCTGGTTATTAAGACCAGCTGCCTGCAATTACTGCATGTTCGTATCTCGCCAGGCTCAAGGTTGACTCAGCCTTCCATCCTTTCTAAGGTAGGTAAATTGAGGACCCAGTTTGTGGGGGCAATAAGCTGACTTTGTATAAATATACAAAAGAATGAAGGCTATTGCTGAGGACATTGTAAGCCGCCCTGAGTCTCCGGAGAAGGGCGGCATATTATTATTATTATTATTATTATTATTATTATTATTATTATTATTATTTTATTTCTATACCGCCCTTCTCCCGAAGGACTCAGGGCAGTGTACAGCCAATTTAAAAACACAAGACACAACAATGATTAAAAATTAAAATAATTAAATAGATTTGGCCGATTTAAAACCCCAAAAATTTAAAATACCCCAATTTAAAATTATTATGTTGATAGCCCGGCCTGGCAGAACAACAGGGTCTTCAGAGCGCAGCGAAACACCCGGAGGTCGGGGATCTTACGTATTTCCGGGGGCAGTTCATTCCACAGGGCTGGGGCTCCCACAGAGAAGGCCCTCCCCCTGGGTGTCGCCAGCCGACATAACTTGGCTGATGGCACCCTGAGGAGACCCTCTCTGTGGGAGCGGACTGGTCGGTAAATAAATCAAATTAAAAAAAAAAAGTCTTGATAGGCTTATATTAAAAAGGCAGATGCTTCCAAGTGTCCAGGAATGGACAATTTAAAGCCACACCCCTATGAGCTTCTCAGTCTGTTTACCTCTCCCAACAAGCTCAGCAGGTTTTGTCTGGTTAGGTAGAGAAGCAGAAGGCTCAGCTCACAGGTGCCTTTCGCTCTTCTGCCGTTCAAGGTTCGGATATGGGAAATCCCGGACGGAGGCTTGAAGCGCAACATGACAGAGGCTGTCCTGGAGCTGTATGGCCACAGCCGGCGTGTTGGCATCATCGAGTGGCACCCAATCACCACCAATATCCTGTTCAGTGCTGGCTATGACTATAAGGTAAATGGGTAAGCATCCTGAGTGGTTGGGATGTTCTTAAGAGCAAACACCACGGGCCTTTTGTGAGTTTCCTTCTGGCTAAGGAGAAAAGATGCTATCAGGATTTAAATCAGGTCTCTCCAACTTTGGCAACTTTAAGCCTGGAGGACTTCAACTCCCAGATTTCCCCAGCCAGCTTGAGACCCTTGATTTAAAGGAGCTGAATTAGGCTCCCAAACAGCTGGAGAGGCCCATAACAAAGAGGCTCCAGAAGTAGCCGTTCTCAACCCTTGGGATGATACAAGGAAGAAAGGGGGTCAAGAGCCCCTACCACACGAGCCGAAGGGAGTCTGTGGACAGAGCCCAGCAAAGGCCTCCCCTTCTCCCCCACTCCATGTTGACTTGACAAGAACATAGAATAACAGAGTTGGGAGGGGCCTTGGAGGTCTTCTGGTCTCTTCCTGGGCGGTTTCCTTCCTGATTCATTGGAGCAGATCATGTCAGGAAGAAAAATCAATTTCACTCAGAGGGTCAGCATTTTCAGCCTCTCCTCTCAGCATAAAGAATCCTCCCTCCTTCAGGTTATTTATTGGATCATATATTTACCCTGGAAGCGGCTAGGCAGGACTTGGCTGTGCTTCCAGTGGAGCCCATCTGTCATTCAGGCCCCACATAGTATGAGCCCAGGCCATCCTCCGTCTGTTGAGTAGCACTCTTCAGAATGGAGACTGCAGAGGCAAACTCCACTTTGAAGTGTCTGCTGCCAAAGTTTTACATGTTGGGGAGGCACGTCGGCTTGGCTGGGGCAGGGGCCAGGCATGCCATGCTTAATCCTTAGTCTCTGTTTGAACAACCTTAACACAAGTCCTCTGAAATGGAGAGCTTCCAAAGGAAGGTGTGATGAGGCGGAAGCTCTCATTAGGAGAGCGGGTGAATCTTTACCAGTTTTCAGATTGATAACATTCAGGACACGGAAAGCAGCGTCCTTCACCCTTCTTTCCCACCCTGATCATTTTTGCTAAGCAAGAGAAGTGGGTATTCTTTGGTTCTTCTCTTTTTAAGCCTTTTGCTTTTGTGGTGTGGTTGTGTGTGTATGTGTTTTAAGGACAAAACATCCTCATGCTTGTGGTTGATCTGTTTATCACTCTGTTCTGAACTATCAGAACATTCAAAATACCTTAAATTGAAAACAGGCAATGCTGTGCCCAATTACACCGCTCTTTTCCAGAAGCAAGAAAGTAACTCAGCCTTCTGAGGGATCTTGAGAAAAGCTTGATTCCCTCTTGATTTCCCGAAAGGTTGGTGGATGCCAAAAGAGTTTAGATACCAAATGGTGAGGAGCTGGATTTATTCTTTTGATTTTAGCTATAGCAGGAGGGAGAGGACATTAAAGTATTTTCTGTGAGATATCTGTGAGCAAGCCAGAGCAGTTTCTGTTTGATCTGCGTCTTCTCCTTCTCAGGTCCTCATCTGGAACTTAGATATTGGTGAACCGGTGAAGATGATTGACTGCCACTCTGACGTCATCCTTTGCATGTCCTTCAACACAAATGGCAGTTTACTTGCCACCACTTGCAAAGACAGGAAGCTACGGGTCATTGAGCCACGTTCAGGCAAAGTCCTCCAGGTGGGAGCTTCTTTGAAGGGCCTAGACAGACAAGATGCGGAGGAGTTCTGGTCACCTGACTAGGTTGTTTGAAACAGCCACCAATAAGGAATGGTGCCTGAATGGGATCACAATGGTGGCTAGGGAAGAGGGCATGTAATCCTCTTGTTCAGATCTATCTTCCCTGCCTAATTGCTAAGCTGCCTTTTTCTTCCTCAGAAGAAAAACTCCAGTTTGAGACAGGGGCATTTCTGGCTAAGGAAATGGTTAAAGGAAAAATACCTCCAGTGGTGGGATTCAAGTAATTTAACAACCGGTTCTCTGCCCTAATGATTTCTTCCAACTACCAGTTTGCCAAACTGCTCAGAACGGTAACAGCCGGTTCTCCCCAAGTGGTGCGAACTGGCTGAATCCCACCACTGTTTACCTCCCATCCCTTACAAGCTGTTTATAGCTTAAAAGAAAATAGTCGGATTCCTCTGTGTTAAATTAAACAGCTTTAAATTTTAATTTTGGCATTGGACGTAACAATAGGCCTTTCCTAAGTTTTGGAAGCAGACTCTGCATAGACGATCTGTGTCGATAGAAAGTCAAAATGATCCCAGCTGCAACTTTTTTTTTGTGGAGGGGGTGCTCCTTGCAGTCCCAGATTCAACCGTGGCCATAGGTCAGTGGGTCTGTCACTCAAGAATCTGTGAGTGAATGTTCAAATAAAAGAATGAACATAGTTGATAATTTGATAAGAAAGTGATAGCCCTGACCTCAGGCTACCCTGTATACCTCTCACCTCCCTGCATTTATTTATAAAATTTATTGGCCACCCATCTTACCCTAGGGTAACTCTGGGCGGCTTACAGTTACATATACAGTTAAAACATAAAAAGTTAAAACAAACATTAAAACCAAAGACAAATGGGGAGTGGGAGGGCGGAGTGGGGGGGAGGTGGGATCTGTTATTACTCGATCAACCAGTTCCACTGTGCTGCTCCCCCACTGGGGCCCCCAGCCGACTGGCACAGCCATGTCTTTAGGCCCTTAGAGAAAGAGAGGAGAGTTGGGGTCAACCTCACATCAAGGGGACCAGATGTTCCAGAGGGCAGGAGCATCAGCAGAGGAGGCCCTCCTCCTGGACCCCACCAGCCGGAATAATGGGGCTGAAGGGACCCACAGCATGCCTCCTCTCCTGACACGAGTGGACAGGCCAATTCCAGTCAGGTGAGAGGGTCCCTCAAGTAATCTGGACCCCTGCCATGAAGGGCTTTAAAGGGGATCACCAACACCTTGAATTGCATCCGGAAGCAGACTGGTAACCAGAGCAGCTCGCAGAGCAGTGGTGTCCCAGGAGCCATTCTTGTGGGGCCCAAAACTACCCATGCGGCCACCAGCTCTGCACCAGCTGAAATTGCTAATAACTGAAATCAATTTTCAATAGAGAAAACCAAGATTTCACTTCATCATATAATGTAAAACTATTAAAATGTTGCTTTAATTTTTTATTATGTATAGTATTGGAGGAAATTGTTTTAAGGTCTGGGAATTTAGAATGGCGTTTTTGGAAGGTGATTTTTCCCCCCATTCCAACAAAGGAGCAACCAACTTTCTGAGTCAATGATGTGTTTGTTTTCCTAGGAGGCAAACTGCAAGAATCACCGTGTGAACCGTGTGGTCTTCTTAGGGAACGTCAAGAGGCTTCTAACAACTGGAGTGTCGCGCTGGAACACCAGGCAGATTGCTCTCTGGGATCAGGTTAGGAGAATAATTGCATGCACGTGCAAGGTGCTAAGGTCCAACAAAACAAAACAAAATCTCCTTTGACAACATCATTGAAGAGAAAGACTTCTGGTGGCCACTTTCTTAGTTCACCAACAGAATTGTGAAAGAAGGGCGAGCTCAGGGTAACAGCAGCCAGAAGCATTTCCTGCAAATGATTTTAGCTTTTCCCCATTTGGGTTGTAGCTCAATATATTAAGGAGTGCAGTGGCTCATGGGGTTAGAAAACTAGACTGATGAACAGTAGCCTTGCGTTCGAGACCTGAGACCTGAGACCTGAGCGGGTTGAATTCCCATCACACACTCCAGCTCCTGCCCATCCAGCAGTAGATAACTTCACGGGGTCAATTTCACAGGGACACGAAAGAGTCTGGTGTCCCCTGGGTAACAGTGATGTCATTGGTAAATCCTTTTGCTATGGAAGAACTTCTATGTTTCTGACACAGAAGTACTAATAATAGCTTAATATTTTGTGGGAGCTTAGCACTTTGTAAATCATGATGTTGTGGCTCTATGAGTGTATGAAGTTCATTTTATGAGTTAGTCAACAATCCCATAATTAAGCAAGGCATAGCTTATTGCAGTGTATGAGATCAGTTAACATGCTGAAGGTGCTGTGTAATTCTATTATTTATTTTATTTATCATATTTATATAGCTGCCCATGTCAAAATTTGGTGTACAATAAAAAATAAATAAAAAACTATCAATTAAAAAATCAATTAAAACACAATCAAAGTTATCCATTAGTGGTGTAGTGGAGGGAATCATTGTTATGGGCAATACAGTCACCTCATTAGTTCCCCACCACCCTGAGACCCCAGGCCTGTTGGCACAACCATGTTTTAATGGATTCCTGAAGGATATCAGGGATGGAGCCAGTTTCACCTCAGGGAGGCTGATGTTCCACAGAGCAGGTCCCATGGCAGAAAAGGGTCCTGCCAGGTGTAACTTCAGCGGATAGGATCCACAGCATACCTCTTCTGCTGGACCTGATGGGACAGAGGTGTAATCAGATGGAGGGGTTCCCTCAAATGACCTGTACCATACCATGAAGGATTTCATAAGCACCACCTTGATTTTAACCTGGAAACAAACTGGCAGCCAGTGTAGCTCATGGAGAACAGGTGCAATGCGCCATTCTAGAGACACACTAACTGCCCATGCCGGAACATTTTGCACCAGCTGAAGCTTCCAAAAACTTTTCAAGGACGTAATATGATCTTTGGATTTAGCATTTGTCTTGAAAGTTGCACCATTTGCAGACAGGCTGACAAAATATTTGTTTATTTTGCATTCCCCCAGGAGGATCTATCCATGCCACTGATAGAGGAAGAGATTGATGGATTATCGGGCCTTCTCTTCCCATTCTATGATGCTGACACCCACATGTTGTACCTGGCTGGCAAGGTACATGAGGCTAGCTTCTGAGCATGAATATGGTACTCTGCAAATGTTCTACACTGTCCAGATGTGCTAGGAGGGAAGCCTGCACATACACATAACCACTCAAAACTGTATTTATTCATCTAGAACTGGAGACAAGGACCAAAACCTAAGTGCAAAGATCTCATGTGAAGTTTTAATCTATTTAGACAGAGGCCTATCTTGGGCACTTGGGGGTACCAGGTTGTCCATCCCTGATCTAATGGGTCAATATTTAAATGTGATTTATACTTTGATATTATTTACATGCGTTCTTAGAATTAGTTTTGTTGAAATTCATGCAACTTGTTTTCTCTGCCTTAAAGTCTTGAGGGAAGAGGCAAACTGCTTTGAGCAGATCCAGGAGAAGTAAGTTAGATGAAACTAATAAGATCATGTAAAGTGTGTAAAAGCCAAGAGAGACCAATTCATTGGTGCTCAGTCTTGGCAAGTTCAGCTAATTGTGGGTAGAGTTAGGTGTGTTGGAGGGAGCTCTTGCTGTGGTGGGCTGACCTGTCATTTACTTCACTCTGTTGATGCTCAGGGAACTGTTTCAGAGAAATATCCACAATTTCCGTAATTTAATTTAATAACAAATTAAATTTGTTTGCCATCCATCTCACTGCAAGGCAACATAAGTGGGAGGAATGTGTCTTTGGTCTGGAAAGGCAGAGAAGGAGGCACTGAGGACCTTCCCCACTAAGTGGAACGATGTAACCTATCTGGATCTGAGTCTTCCTCAAAGCAAAGTTGGGCTTTAAAAGCAGAGATCAGAAGTATACATAGGCCATCCCATGTTTTCTGACAGGCATAACATTGGATTGAATCTAGCCTGGTTAGAGATAAAGAACACTTCTTTACTTAAAACCTTTGAGGGACAGTAACTTCTTATCACTCAGTCTTAGTTTTTCTGTCCAAAAATGAAATACCTCACAAAACTGCTGTGAGGAAAAATGACATTCTAAAGGCAGCTGCCAATGAATGTCTGACTGTGAGTTCAAACAAAAAAATGTGTTCCAGCTTTTGGATTCTCCACAGTTCTTCATTTCAAACAGCAGAGTGTGAGAGCACACAAAAGCTTGTGACATCTTTTCTGTCCCAATAATGGTCTTGTCTGATTACAGATGTTTTCTTCTCACAATCCAACAGATCTATTTTTTCCTCATAAATAAATTCATAACGTGCCTCTGATTTACTTCTCCTCTTCTTGCCTCTCCTCCCTCAGGGAGATGGGAATATCCGATACTATGAAATCAGCACTGAGAAGCCATACCTGACCTACCTAATGGAGTTCCGTTCTCCAGCCCCACAGAAAGGCCTTGGTAAGGGGTGCTTATTGCCGGTTGGGATGTCTAAAAGAAAAGATTGAGATACAGAGAAAAATCATCCATGGCCCTTCTGCTACAGCTCCACGAAGTTCCCATTCCCCTGAAGAAAAGAATATCTACAGCTCAGGGTTGAACTGAGGAGTTCCTGGTGCTCGCTTGCACGGATGAAGTTACCTGATTGGGTAATGAATCAGCTGCAAGCAAAGAACCAAGCTCAGAGAGCATCAGGGATTCCACAGTCTCCTTCTTCTGTCACAATATATTTCACCAAAGTCATTCCAAGCTCCTGTTCTTTTAGTCAGTGTTTTTCTTCTCTCTCGCCATTTTTTCCCAGTTTAGTTTTCCAATCTTCATCTTTCCTGGTTTTATAGCCACTTCCTTCCCTCCCCAACAGGTTTTGCAATTCTCAAGATTTCCTTTCACTGTTGTGGGGCTGGTTCCTTTTCCCCCTTGAGTAGAAGGTGTAGGAATAGAAGAACAATAATTCAGCCAACGCAGGAGAAGGAGAGGCAGAGCCTGGGGGTGAAATCAAGAGAGAAATAAGCCTAGAGTCATTACATTGCCGCAAACAATCCAAGTCCAGCCCCTTTTAAATCCCACTAATGCTTCTCTAGCGCCAATTTAGTGCTGTTAGTTGACTAGATCCTTGTATACAGGCCTGAGCAATAAATCAGCTTAACTGGAACGTAATGCTTAGTCCTGATAGTTTATGCCTGACAGTCAGCAATTGAATAGAATCTGGAGTTCCAGTTCCCGTTCAAAAGTAAGGGAACACCAAATGACAGTCAGAAAAAAAACTGCAGAGAATTCTTTTGGGGTTGCTGTGATGTCAGATCAAAAGTTGTTCTCACAATGATAAATGAATATTATAAAGAGCTGTTTAGATTTGAAGTTTAAGATTTAGGGTGATTATATAATAGCTAAATGTTAGAATAAGATCTTAGATTGAATGACAAAAATTGGATTTAGATTTTTTTTTTTTTTTTTAATTAATTTGATTTATATGCCTCCCTTCTCCGGAGACTTACAATGAGTTAAGCAATAGCCTTCATACTTTTGTATATTTTATACAAAGTCAGCTTATTGCCCCCACAATTTGGGTCATTTTACCTACCTTAGAAAGGATGGAAGGCTGAGTCAACCTTGAGCCTGGTGAGATTTGAACTTGCAGTAATTACAGGCAGCTGATGTTAATAACAGTGCTTTAGTCTACTGCGCCACCAGGGCTCTTGTTCTGTTTTCTTTCTTTTCTTTTCTTTTTCCTTTAAGATATTAATTGATGAAATTTGGAATTTATACTTATTTTATACTGGATCAAACCCTTGCTCTAAAAAGATGTTGTTTTATGTTTTATGTCAAAAAATAAATTAATTTTTTTTAAAAAAAAATTTAATTTAATAAAAAAAATTATTTAATTTAATTTTTTTTAATAAAAAAAAGTTGTTCTCACAACTTAGACAGGAATTTTCCATAAGTCATGTTTTCTTAAATTTTATACGTGCAGGAGTAATGCCGAAGCATGGTCTGGATGTCTCTGCATGTGAGGTGTTTCGGTTTTACAAGCTCATCACACTGAAGGGATTAATTGAGCCGATCTCTATGATTGTACCAAGGAGAGTGAGTACAATTAGACCGAGTCTTTTCTGCTTCCAGCTGTGAGCCCGGGGTGCCCGCAGAGGGGCGTGTGCGTGTCTGTGGGTGGTCACAAATAAGGAAAGATGGCAACTGCATCATTTTAATCTATTTTTATGCTATTTTAAATTATTCTTGTTTTCTGGGTTTGGTCTGTTTATTATTTATTTATTAAATTTATAAGCCACCCATCTCACGGATAAGGTGACTGTTATCTACCCATGGGTACCTTAAGGGATAAATTGAATTGCAGGTAGTCCTCTACTTATAACCAATCATTTAGTGACCGTTTGAAGTTACAACAGCAGTGAAAAAAATGACTAATGACTGTTTTTCACCCTTATGACCGTTGCAGCAGCATCCCCATGGTCATGGGATCAAAATTCAGATGCTTGGCAACTGACTCATATTTATGACGTCCCAGTGTCCCGAGGCCACGTGATCCCCTTTTGTGACCTTCTGTCAAACAAAGTCCATGGGGAAGCCAGATTCACTTAACAACTGTGTTACTAACTTAACCACTGCAGTGATTGACTTAACAACTGTGGCAAGAAAGGTCATAAAATGAGTCAAAGTTTACTTAACAACTGTCTTATTTAGCAACAGACATTGTGGTTGTAAGTTGAGGACTACCTGTATTGCTCTGATGCATAAAAACCATATATCCATATGAAAATGCATACCATGTTCACTGTGATCGATCCAGCTGAGTCAAATTTGAGAGCAAATTTCATAGAATTCAATGGGGCAATGCTGAAATATAAGCCTAAATTTACAGTGAAAAATGGCCCTTAAAACTGAAGATATTGTGCCACCGTAGCTCGGCCAGCTTCTGTACTTTATACAGAAACAGAGGGCATGTTGCCCAATTACCTTTTATTGAAAATATGCAGGTCAGTTCCATCTTTAGATCATTTTTCTTCCTGCTCCACAAACCCAAATATCATCTTGATTTCTACTTTAGATTAAATAAAGGGAGTTGTCACTTTCCCGCCTGCTCATAGCAGACACTTTTAGAGGGAGGGAAAGGAGAGACGCTAATGCCAGTCATCCTCCTCTTCCTCTTCCTCTTGCTCATCACTATCTTTATTGTCAATGACTATCCGTAAAACTCTTTATGTACCCAAAGCTGAGCCTGATTAAGCAATTAAGAAAACAGATGAAGCAAGAAAACTGTTGCTCATCTTGCATAAAACATGACAAAATTGGGCCACACTTAAGTAAACGGAATCATTTGAATCTGAAAGTAAAAGTTATGTGTAAAACCGATCAGAGCGATTGGGATATTTAATTGGGGTGTGGGATTAATAATACTGCTAATAGTAATAGAATACTGCTGATAAATAGAATAGAATAAGAGAGTCTTGCTCATAATAGAACAGTACGAGGCCTCCTTTAAGGCACCTGGGGTCTGCTTGAAAGCCAACGTCCTGGAAGATTGCTTGATTACCTAGATTGTGCTAGAGAAAGGTGCGTCCCTTCTCTAGCACAGGAGTGTCAAACTCAATTTAATTGAGGGCTGCATCAGGGTTGTGTTTGACCGTGGGGGGGAAGCATGGCCAGCTCAATATCACTCGTTGAGGCTCCGTTTTCAGCCATGATGGCCTCCTGCAGCCCTCTGCCAGCGAAAACTAGTTCCCTAGGCTCCGTTTTCACTAGCAGAGGGCTGCAGGAGGCCGTCACGGCTAAAAATGGAGCCCAGGCAAGCCGCACGCGGCCTCCCCGAGCGCCATTTTTGCTGGCAGAGGGCTGCAGGAGGCCATCGTGGCTGAAAATGGAGCCTGGGAGGGCCACACTCCATTTTCGTTGGCAGAGGCACCGCGGGCTGGTCTGCTGTTTCCAGGGCAGCTCTGCGGGCCAGATCTAAGCACCCCACAGGCCGGATCTGGCCCACGGGCCTTGAGTTTGACACCCCTGCTCTAGCATGTACACTTGAATTAAGGAAACACTCAGAAGTCCCAGATGTTTATGTATCAGAAGGGACCTGGGGAGTTAGACTTGCCCAGGAGAAAAGCAGCTTAGTCCAATACTGAAAATGTATATCCAGGCACTGGATTGAATCTTTCTAATGATAGTCAAATTGCTATCCTTGAAAATATTTAAATGCACACTTCTTCCCAAATGTCTGTCTGGGGAAAAAAAAACAAACCAAACCTACCCGCTACAATGAAATGGCTGTAGCTTGTTCCTCTTGGAATGGGATTGCCACTGTAAGAGAGATGGTCATTCCTTTTGGGTTTATTCATCCTCACTGCAAATCTCTTTTGGGGTTTAACCTGGTAAATGGGGACCAGCTCAGGGTTTCAGACAAGCTGTTTCTCTTCTTTCTGATTTAGTCTGAAACATACCAGGAAGATATCTACCCAATGACTCCGGGTCCAGAACCTGCCCTCACCCCAGACGAATGGCTGAGTGGAATGAATAGGGGTGAGCATGTTGGCACCTCCACATGACCTTCTGGGCTTTGCCTCATCACGCATAACTGGAGCTGACCCATCTTGCACAGATGGCCAAGGCTTTGGAAAGATTCGAGGGTCAACTGCACTAAAAAAAAAATAGTTCCAGATTTGTCAATAGTTTGACATCAAGGAAAGAATTTAAAAATATGCTGATATCCCTATAAAAGACTTCTAATAACCTATGTCACTACCTGTTCAAGATAAGAGTTAAAGAATAGGAGAAATTTCCTGAAAGTGAAGAACAATTAATTGAGTCAGTGGAAGAGGTTGGAGGTTTCCAAGAAAAGATTAGACAACCACTTGCTGAGATGGTGTAAGGTCTCCTGTCTTGGGCAGTGGGTTGCAAAAGACTTCCAAGGCCCCTTCCAGCCCTATGATGTTGATTCTATAGATATTGCAATTCTTCCCCCTCCCTTCCTTCAATTATGGCTGAAAATAGGTCAATGGCATAGAGGCAGATCTTTTCTGCAATGGAGCCCACGTTCTAGAATGGTGTCCTCTCCACAGAAGAACCCAACATCCTGAAAAGCACACCACTTTTCACCATGCTCAGCTATTATTTGACTAATTTTTTTTTTAATTGAAAAAGTTTTTCAAATACAGATTTTTCCCCCTTTTTCCCCCTCCTCCTCCCTAACCCCCCCTCACCCTCCCCACCCCCCATGGCTTCTCCAAAAATAAAATCCAGATTGATATCAAATTATATAATACTTTACCATCCTTTTACACCACCCCCCCAGATGCTAACCATTTCTTTCTAACATTGTATTATTTGACTAAATTTTAATGGGTTGCTTTTTAAAAAAAAATCCTGGGATGGTTGATAAGGCCCTTCCTGGTCATATAATTTCATTTTGAGGTGTTGGACTTCCCTGAGCAAGAAAAAAACAGGATTATAGCTCAGTGATTCTGCTGTGTGCACCACAAACAGCTGCTCAAAGTGGAGGTACTGGAGAGGCTTGGATGTAAAAGCCTGTTCAAGCTTTATTCCCTTGGATCTGACCCTGTGGCTACAGCAAATTGGCCTCTGTCACAGAGAGGGACAAAGGGATCCAAGCAAAGGGAGCAGAAATGTGGCAGTGATGTTGCGCTGTCCCATCTCCTTCCAGGGGCAGAGCAACATCACAGGCCTGTATAAAGGGCTGGAATGCATGCCACAACACCATGTAAGGCTACCGAGAAAGATGCAACTGGCTAGTAAAATCTGGGGATGTACCACAGGTAATTTATTGGTGAAGTCCAGAAACTGACATCCCTAGCTATTTCCTGAAGCAGTGTTTCTCATCTTGGCAGCCTGAAGATGTGTGGACATCAACTCCCAGAGGTGACTTGGGAATTCTTGAAGTTGAAGTCCATACATCTTCAAGCTGCTAAGGTTGAGAAATACTGCAGTAGAATACTGCTTCCATCTTGGATGGGTCCATTTGAATGCCAGATGTGGAAAACTGGTACGCTAGAAAAATCTACTAGTGCCTTGTCAAATTCACATTTCTCCAGGTTCAGGTAGCTATTCTAACATAGACAGGTCATGCATCTAGAGGTCTCATGAATACATTAGAAAATTGGCCAAGTAAATAATGAGTAAATAGTATGATATTTCAGATTATGTCATTCAGAAAATGCTAGAGCATAAATACAAAGGACATAATAATGGCTGAAGCCACCACTTACATATGAGCCAGCACTGTGTTGCAGCTGCCAAAAAAGCCAATGCAGTCCTAGGCTACATCAACAGTGGGATAGCGTCAAGATTACAAGAAGCGAGAGTACCGGTCTATACCGTACTAGTGAGGCCACACTTCGAATACTGCATCCAGTTCTGGTCACCACAGTTCAAAAAGGATGCTGAGGCCCTAGATAGAGTGCAGAGAAGAGCAAGAAAGATGATAAGAGGTCTGGAGGCTATGATGAACAGTTAGGGGAATTATATAGGTCTAACCTCACAAGAACTGGAAAGAATATATTTGGAAAACAACTGGCTCATGTTATCAGAAGGGCTTTAAACTAAAATTGGGGGAGGGGGCACTCTTCAAAACCTTTTGAGCCTAATTCCAAGCAAGAACCATATAAGGAGGTAGAGAGTAAAGAGAAAGAAGAAGAAAAGGAAAAACACAATGAAGTAGAGAGTGATGGAAAGGATGGGAAATCCATTTACAAAATAGGAGATGTAACAAACATATCCAAAAATATTAGAAGTATACCCAAGACTCCCAAAGGACTTAAATGCCTATACACAGATGCTCAAAGTCTAGGGAACAAACAGGGTGAACTTGAAGTGCTAGTACATGAAGGTAGATACGATATAGTTGCTATTACTGAAACATGGTGGGATGAAACTCATGGCTGGAACATACTGATGGAAGGATACAAACTATTCAGAAGAAACAGACCTAACCAAAGAGGAAGTGGAGTTGCATTATAAGTAAGAAATGACTACATCTCTACAGAAATACATTAAAACCAAGGATGAAAACCTCCAAGAATCCATATGGGTCAATATAAAAGGGGAAAAAAGAACGGCATTGCTATAGGAGTATATACTACAGGACATCCAACCAAGCAGAAGAAAGAGACGAACTTTTTGCAAAACAATTAACAAATAACAAAGGAAACATACCACAGTAGTAATGGGAGACTTTAACTACCCTCATATCAAGTGGGAGACAAATTCTGCAGCAAGTGGGAGATTGAACAGATTCTTAACCAACCTAGGTGACAACTTTGTCATCTAAAAGGTAGAGGATGGAACTAGAGGAAAAGCTATACTAGACTCAATTCTTACTAATAGAGAAGAATAGAATAGAGGGAGTTGAAATCGCCAGAACTTTGGATGAGAATGACCATGTCATATTGGAATTGAATATGATGCAAACACAAGCAACAGAACATAATTCAGCCAGTGTCTTAAACTTTAAAAGAGTTGATTTAAAAAAAAAAACTCAAGAGAGAGCCTAAGAAAAATTCCATGGATGAAAATCCTAAAGGTGAAAACAACTCAAAAAGCATGAGCAACTCTGAAAAATATGATCATAAAACCCCAGTCCAACACAATACCACTGAAAAAGAAAAACAAGAAATCCAAGAAGAAATTGGCATAGTTGCACAAAGATCTCTCTGATAAACTGAAAGACAGAAACGACAAGTACTGTACAAAAAATGAAAAGAAGTACACATAACTAAGGCAGAGTATCAGCAGATAGCCTGAATCTGCAAAGATGAAGTCAAGAAAGCAAAGGCTCGGAATGAACAAGGACTTGCAACAAAAGTCAAAGATAATTTTTAAAAAGTTTATTTCAACATATAAATAATAAGAAAAAAGTCAAGGAAACAATTGATCCATTAAAGGGAGAAGATGGCAAGGAAGTAACAGGCAGAAGAGAGAAAGAAGAGCTGCTTAACTCATTATTTGCATAAAACTATAGCCCAACCTACCAAAAAATTAACTATAAAAGACAGACTAGAAATAAAAATTAAAATAAGCAAGAAAATGGTTAGAAAACACCTGTCTGATCTTGATGAATATAAATTACCAGGACCTGACAGATTACTTCCCAGAATTCTGAAGGAGCTGACAGATGTTAGCTCTGAAAAGTTGTACCATATCTTTCAAAAATCCTGGAACACCAGGGAATTACCTGAGGATTGGAAAAGAGTTGATGTGGTTCCCATCTTCAAAAAAGGAAGGAAAAACAGACCCAGGAAACTACAAACCAATCAGCCTAAAATCAATATCTGGGAAGATACTGGAAAAGATAATCAAAAAACAGGTCTGTGAACATCTAAAAACAAATAAACTTATAAAAGCCAGCACAGGTTTGTTAAAATTAGATCATGCCAAACCAATCTTATTTCATTCTTTGACAAAGTGACTAAATTAATAGACCAGCGAAATGTTTTGGTAAGCTAGAAAAAAGTGGGATAGACAGCATCACCACCAGATAGATTTGTAACTGGCTGACAAAACATACTCAAAGTATAGTCCTTAACGGTACTACATCTACATGGAGGGAATAAGCAATGGAGTACCACAAGTTTGCATCTTAAGCCCAGTACCCTTCAATATCTTCATAAATAACTTAGATGAGGGAATAGAAGAGGAACTCATCAAATGGCAGGAATAGCCAACAGCCCAGGAGACAAGCTCAGGATCCAAAAAGATCTTGATGGACTTGAAAAATGGGCTCTATCCAACAACATGAAATTTAATGTGGAAAAAAGCAAGTTTTTACACCTAGGCAGGAAAAAGCAAAGGTACAAGTACAGATTCGGCGAAACCTGTCTCAAAAACAGTAACTGTGAAAGGGACCTTGGAGTCCTAGTGGACGATCGCTTAAACATGAGCCAGCCGTGTGCGGCAGCAGCCAAAAAAGCTAATACAATCCTGGGTTGTATAAAAAGAGGCATAGAATCAAAATCACGTACAGTATTAGTACCGCTTTATAAAGCCTTAGTAAGGGCACACCTGTAATACTGCATCCAGTTTTGGTCACCACATTACAAAACAGATGTTGAGACTTTGGAAAAAGTGCAAAGAAGAGCAACTAAGATGATTAAAGGCCTGGAGACAAAAACATGAAGAATGGCTGCAGGAATTGGGTATGGCAGTCTAGAGAAAAGAAGGACTAAGGGTGACATGATAGGAGTATTCCGGTATTTGAGAGGCTGCCACAAAGAGGGGGTCAACATATTCTCCAAAACACCTCCAAAACAAGGACCAGAAGCAACGGATGGAAACTAATCAAGGAGAAACAACCTGGAATTAATTCCCAACAGTGAGGACAATTAACCAGTGGAACAGAAGTTGCCTTCAGAAGTTTTATCACTGGAGGTTTTTAAGAAGAGACTGGACAGTCACTCATCTGAAATGGTATAGTCTCCTGCTTGAGGTGACCTCCAAGCTCTATTCTGATTCTGATTCTAACAAAGAGAAGGACTAGGGGTAACATGATAGCAGTCTTCCAGTACTTGAGGGGCTGTCACAGAGAAGGGGGGTCAGCCTATTCTCCAAAGCACCAGAAGGCAGGACAAGAAGCAATAGGTAGAAGCTCATTAAAGAGAGATCCAACCTGAAACAGAGAAATTTCCTGACCATGATAACAGTTAATTAGTGGAACACCTTGGCTCCAGAACTTGTGGGTGATTCATCACTAGAGGTTTTCAAGAAAAGATTGGATATCCATTTGTCAGGGATATTACAAGGTTTCCTTGGACAGGGAGTTGATCTAAAAGACCTCCAAGGTCTTCCAGCCCTCTCTTCCAGCCCTCTGATTCTATGTTTTTTTTCATCTCTTCCAGGATTCACACCTTCCTCTGATCCAGCTGGATGATTACTTTAGTCTGTGTTGTCCCTTTTGAGGGGGGAGGGGCAATTTCAAATCTTGCTTTTCTTCAACACTTAATAGTCATTAAAAAGAAATAGAATTTTAAAGATATTTGACCATATCATTGTTTTTTATAAATAACTGATTGATGAACATACCTAAACTCCTTCTGTTTGCCCCACAACAATCCTGTGATCCCAATCCCAAAATCACCCATTTATAAAGGGAACTGCAGGTGGGAGGACCAAATAAACTCCTTTTTAATTATTTTCCATAGACAATATTTTATGCCAATCAACTCAGTATCTTCCCCAGCACAGGGACAATCTGTTAGTCTGGCTCTCCTGAGAACAATGCCTAGAAATCTCAATTTGGGGGGGGGGGGGGTTAGATATCAAACTACTCATCGTTCTGGGTAACTGAGAATGCCTGCATCGCCAAGCAACAATGATCCTGATAACAGGAGGAGCTAAGTAGAACGTATTTGACTAGATAATATAACATCCATGTCAGCTTCAAAATTATGGGGAATGGTGGAGTAGTTGCCACAGAGAATTGGATCTACAGGTTGATATTCCAGGAGTCATGACATGCATTCATAAAATAATCCATTTTGAAAAAAGAAGTCCCCCCTCCCCCAACCAATTTTATGGGGTGCTGCTGCTGGCAAAAATGATAGTCATAAGATTGGTGGCTCTGGTAGCTATCTTTTTAATTTTTCTATTGGTGCCCATCCTGAGATGTGGGTTTTATATTGCTTTTCAGATCCCATATTGATGTCTTTAAAGGAAGGCTATAAGAAAGAATCCAAAGTAGTTTTTAAACCACCAATAAAAGAGAAGAAAAGTGTTGTTGTCAATGGGATAGATCTCTTGGAAAATGTGCCACCCAGAACAGAGAATGAGGTAAGAAATAGCAGCTGTGTTCTTTCCAGTCTGGAAAAGGAAATTATTGCCAACTTCTCCATCCCATAAATCTGGGGAAGTCCACAAAGCAGTGCCAGAACTGCAGGATCACTGCAGGTTGGTCCCCAGTATTTCCATCCCTGTCCATGCAAAGTGAAATTTCTCAGGTTCTCCCAGATAAGGTGATCCAAACCCTTGGATCCAAAGGGGGCCATCTCAGATCCTGCAGCACATTCGCTGCAGTTGTTCCAATCTATTCAGCCTGTTGATCCTTTTCTGTTTCTTGTCTTCCACGAAGCTCCTCCGAATGTTCTTCCGGCAACAAGACGAGATCCGTCGACTGAAGGTTGAGCTTTCGCAGAAAGACATCAAAATCCGACAGCTACAGTTGGAATTGAAAAACTTGCGTAATAACCCCCAGAACAATGGACTCTGAAGGGATTTTTTTTCTAAAGAAACTCTTTGTTTATACCCACTCTTTAATTTTACTGTCTCAACTTAACACGTGATATGAGCCAGAGACCCTGTGCCAGCACACGGGTACACCTGCTAACTGGAAGCCTCTTCTTCTGTGGTCATTGCCTAGCACTAAAAAGTTATTTGTATGGTTTAACTTGAGAACTACTGCATGAAAAGAACAAGGGACGTGTATATTCCAAATTTCTCTTGAAGTAAGTAGAAGCGTACTGCTGTTTGTCATTCTTGCAAAATTACGGAATCAGTTTTCATCCCTGATTATTCCAGGGATGAAAAAGGAAAGCACTGTAAGCCCAGACAAAATCAACTGAATTCATTTATTACTTACCTTTCTTCTCCTGAGATAATGGGGGGGGGGGCTGTCGATAAACAGTGAGTGTGCAATTGGAATGCAAACTCACTACACTGAAAAGAAATCTGGAAGAAAAACAGCTTCCCTTCTCTTGGGAACCGTGACCTGAGCGTTCCTTGAACCCTGCAGCCAGTGTGGGCTTTGGTGTTATTGAACACTCTCCAGGGCTCACCCTGCCTGTCTGGCGCCTGCTTTGCTTGGGCATCACTCTAGGGCTGGTAGCTACAATTTATTCTGTTGAAATATACCCAATGGGCACTAGGTAATGAATGCACACAGGTTGCATCTCTAATTGATCTCTTCAAGAGTGGTTGCAAATGTACCCATGTACACTCGCACACTCGCACAGCTACAAGAGTCCTGAAGATAACCTTGACAAAAGGAAACAGATGCTGTTAAGTGGCAAGTAGATGCAGTCTTTGAGGGAATACAATCCAAAATACAAACGCAACACATACAGGCCTACCAGAGGCCATTCTCTTGATCAAGAGAGTCCAGATGGAAGACCCAGCGGGTATTTCAAGTGGGGAGCAGTTAACCCAGCGAAAATTAAGCACCTTTAATGTACTACCCATAAGCAGCTTCTGAGCTAGGGGTATGTTTCATTCATTTTGGTAGAAGCAGTAGACGGCAGAGCTGTATTTGTAGCTGCATTTATATTTGCTAGTAAGGCACAATGCTGAAGAGTGCCAGTCAGTCCCACACGATGTTAAACGTGACTCTCCCATCCTGACAGTTTTCAAACAGATTCATAGCTCAGGTTCTTCAGCAGCTAATGGAGCAGTTGGCAAACGGCCAGTTTGTGGCAGGAAAGAGAGCTGGTAATCCTTATTGAAGCACATCCAGGAAGATGGATGGCCATTGCCCCCCTGCCCAAATGCAGATCTGCTTATTGAGTACATGATCTAATTATGAGGTGTGGGGCCCTGACAGCTTTCATGGCACTTACAAAACTGCAGGCCCATTCTAATTATTTCGCCTAAAAAACCCCAATCCCCACCTTTTTTAGGACAGGGAGTTGGCAAGCTACCTGCACAACAAAGTGCCAACCTTTAGTATCAGATACTCATGGAGGTTGGGGTGTGTGGATTTCAAAATCAATATAGTGGCCAGGATGCATTAGGCGAGCTTTGCATTGACTGCACTATCATGGCCATCTTGGCTTCATTTCCAAGAAAGCTGCTGGAGCTGAACATTTTGCATGCTACCAAAGGCAGTCACTGAACAAAAAAAAAAGGGGGGGGGCAGGAAATGTTCAACCCAAGGTACCAGGCTAGAAACCAGGTGCCTGAGTTCTAGTCCTATCTTGGGCATGAAAGACAGCTGGGTGACTTTGGGCCAGCCTCTCTTTCAGCTCAATCCACTTCATAGGGTTGTTATGGGGAGAGGAAGAGGAGGAGGGAGAAGTGTTAGATATATTCACTGCCTTCAGTTATTTATAAAAATAATCTCAGGATAAAATCTGAAAAACAAACAAGATTATTAAAGTAGGCAGCATCCTGCAGAAGGGCTGGTAAGTAGGTAGGTTCTTCCATCATAGCCATTTTGGGAGATCACCCACATTTTAGATTTCTGAGTATGCCAGCTGCTGTTCCCACGATGGCGGAGCCCGTTCTGTCTCTGCCTTCACACCATGCATGCAACTTAAGAAACGCCTTTCTCGCTCACGGCTGGTTGGTTAGGATTTCTTGAGTCTCCCACTCTAGGAATTCTGTCAATCCCAAAGGAGTTGTTGTCTTCAAGACTGGCCCTACATATTTTGCTGCTCGAGATAGAGATTTGGCGCAGATGCTGGGCAATGTGGCAGCTCAACCTGATGGTACTACTCCTGGCTGCCTTATCTGGGCTGCAAAAATGCAGATGGCACAAGATGGCATCGCCAGTTCAGGGTTTTGTATCTCTGAACTGCCATCTAGTCTCCCCCAGAATTTTGCTGAACAGATCTGCTTAGCCCTTCTTTGGGGCAAAGAACAGGCTATGTTATACCCCTCTGTCCTCCCAAGATTATTCTGCGCCACCTTGCTTTCTTAATCCCTGTTACTAGGACTGGGCAGATACACTTTCAAGGAAAATGCAGTTGGAAGGTAAATTTTGCAAGAGGGTCGGGCAGAAGTGCCTGCCAAGCGAATTAGGTCAGCACAGCTTTCAGCTTGGAGTCACCCAGATATGATGAGTACCCAGAATTTCCAGCCTGTATGGCCTGACCAATGCATCCTGAAGACATTCAGCTGGAGAATGGCTTAATATTTAATTTCCTACTTTGCTGTTCAAAATAGGAAATAGGATGGCTGGCTGCCTTTGCAGAAAAGGAGTGTTGTGACTGCGATATCTTTGCTGCCAGCTCTTCTAGCATAGCTCTTCTCTCCTTCCAGAGCCACACCCTTTTCTCATAAATAAGAAAGTGGTAATTCTGTTTGTGGAATCCTGATCAAATTACAATGGCAACTGAGTTTCAATGCCCACTGAAGAAGTCAAGCGCCTGAAATGTTGTGTACAGTATTCTAAAGTAGCCTTGTGTTCCTGAATGAGACATTGGGGAGTTATTTACACATTTACACACTACCTAGAGAAGCCTGCATTGGGAGGCTAGCACTGGGCCCACTTACCACACCTGCTGTCATCCATCCCACAAGAAGCAGAATGCAGCCAGGATACATGCTAAAGGGGTTAGGAGAGGCTTTGTAAATGCAAGAGTTCAATCAAAATTTGGTACTTTTGGAAGCAAGGGGTACACAATGTTGTCCCTGGACCTGCCAGCACACTTAAGATGCATTAGTGATCATTCTGGCTTCTATCCAGCTCTCGCTGGCTTGGAACTAGCTAAGAGGTTGGCCGATTCAAAAGATTTAAAGGGACTCATTCAAAGTATTGAAGCCATATTAGTTCTGCTCTCCCTCAACTATGGTTTGGGAATCATCCCATTCAGATGTTGTGGGGAATGTTGTGACAAGCCTTTACTCTATACAGAAGAGTGGATCTGGCAGGATCAGTTTTGTCCATAAAGGGCAGGAAAAAGCTGACCTCCGGGCTTAGCCCAGTTCAACTTCTCAGGGCTTCTGGTCCTGCAGTTTCACAGTTCCCACGCCAGTATGTGGACAATCACTTTCCTTGAAAATTAGAGCCAGGTTGCCAGAGATTCCACTTCGTGCACCAAAGATTTCTTTGGGATCCACCTTTTATCACACCTTTCATTCACAAGGACAGCCAGGCAACTGGGCTCCTTTTTCTCTTTGCATCCATGTTCACATTGTACTCTGTGCCTAACACTGATTTTCCACTGCGCCACTTCAGTGTTCCCATCCGCTTATTATTTATGCTGCCCTACAGTAGCGACAAAATAAAGCTACCCAAATAGCAAACCAATCAGTTGTGATGTCTCCTTGCCTTCTGGGTGGGATGAGGATGCCTTCGAAAGGGCGGCAGGGAGGTGGGCAGGCAGGGCAGAGAGACTCCTGGTACAAACTCTGAAACAAAGCCCAGGGTTTCTTTTAGAAAGCAGGATCTACTGCCTTCCCCACAGAGCTTGAAGGATAGTAAAAGCTGAGCACATTTAGCCTCTTGAATTTCTCCCACCTGCTTTGTGAGTAGACAAACCAAGATGGTTTCCTTAAGGGTTTCCTCAAGGGCCTGGTGGCTCAGCAGACTGATAGCATTGTGATTAACACCAGCTGTCTGCAATTACTGTAAGTTCGAATCTCTCCAAGGCTCAAGGTTGACTCAGCCTTCTATCCTTTCTAAGGTAGGTGAAATGAGGACCCAGATTGTGGGGGCAATAAGCTGACTTTGCATAAATATACAAAAGAATGAAGGCTATTGCTTAGCGCATTGTAAGCCGCCCTGAGTCTCCGGAGAAAGGCGGCATATAAATCAAATTTTAAAAAAAAAAAGGGAAAGAAGCCTCTGCGGAGGGAAATTCCCAACTAGAAGAGGATCTTCCCATAGGATCTAATGGAAATGGGAAACCAACGTGGCGACAGAGGTTGGTTGGAAAGCCCCTCATTAACCTGACATAAAAGGACAGATCTACCAGATACCTCATAAGAGGTATGCAAATCTGCTTTTTCCAAGAACTCTGAGTTGTTCCCATTTCTCCCCTAGAATGGCCAGGTCACTGTGGCCCACAGGAGAAAGAATATTGCAGAGTGTTCTGTTCCTGGAAAAGGAGCTTCTACACCTCATGGTTGCTCCCATTCTTCCAGAAGACTCCTCTGGGAAGCCTGAAAATGAGACGTTGGAGGTAGAGCCACACAACTAGGCCCCATCTTCTGTTACACCGCAGTATTTTGCATTGGTGGACTGAGCCATTGTGATTAATTCATTTTCATTTTTTTTAAAGTTTCTTAAAATAATTACAACTTTGTTCTTTTTAAAAAAACTTTAAAATCAAGCAGCAAATTCCCACGTGGCCCATTTACTGCAATAAGCCACAGGAAAAAAAATTGTATAAAAAGATTTATTGAAATTCATAATTAACAAAGACATAAAACTCAAAAAGTTTGGCTCTTTGGGGAGCAAGAGGGAAGGTCGCAATGGTTGTGCTTGTTTATATACAGATGAGAAACTGACTAGAAAACACAAACCCACTTTTAATGCTCTAATTGAAGAGGGACATGAAATTAAATCTGTACATTCAACTAGGTACTTTGCAGTCAATTTACTGACTTTTTAAGAAAATACAACTTTTCTATCAGCAATCCATGCTCGTGTATGAAAAGAGACCCGACTGGCCTGGGCGTCCAGTACTGTCTCCTCTGGTAATTAAAAGCTTTGCAAAAATCTTCAGAGTACTGTAGACCACACGTGGAAACAGATTCTCATCACCTAATATCAAGGAGTTGTTAATATACTTTTATATATAGTATTTTACAGACCAAAATAGTACACACTTTAGTTAAAAGGGTTCAAACATTTTCTTTTTTTATTACAACTGTCAAATGCAATTCACCAGTTAACTCAGGAAATTAGGAACACTTTTTATATATATTTATAGATATTTCCATGACTGCCGTTTACAGAGAACTGCTCTAGACCCCCTCAATAGTCAGAATACGAACCAACCGGGAATGGGAGCTGAACAAGGATCCTGCTGTATTCTTGAGCAGTTCCCGTCCCGAGAGCTTGCCCAGTCATGCTCTACAAGATTTTTTAAAATAAAAATTTGCAAAGTCACCCCCACAAACCAAATAAAAAGGAGAGAGAGAGAGAGAGAGAGAGAGAGGAGAGAGAGAAATTACATAGTTGGTCACTATTTACAAACAGCCAAGTAAATGTTACCGATAGGAAGTGGAAGAAAAGGGGTTTCTGGGAACAGCAGCCATTCACAAAACAGGTAACAAGAAAACACTTGGTTATCAAGATGCTGCTGCTCCCCTGCGTTGGCGGCGGCTGGAATGCTCCCACGGCCAATTTTGCTGCATCCAGAAGAGAAGAAAGAAATACTTACAATATCCTCATAAACTGGTAAAAAAAAAAGGGGGTGGGGGGAGAGAAAGAAGCCACTGAGTCTTCAGGCCCAAATTATCCCTCCACCCTCCCTATTCCAGCCATCAATTTGAATCATTGTGGGAATCCTCCGGCTCATATTTATTTCTAAAAAGCTTTTTTTTTAAAAAAATCCAGAGTCCAGGATGAGCCACTCCAAGAAAAACAAATTTATCTCTTGCGTCGTTTGCGTAAACAGGAATAACAGATAAAATATTTTTTTCAGAAACAAAATGTAGCAGTCTGAGTGGCAGGTTTTTCTTTTTTTTAAAAAAAATGTTATTTTAATTCCCTTGCCCATAAAATTAAGCATTTCCTTCTTGATCTCACAGCAACATTACATTCCAGGAAGGGGGTGAGAAGGGGTGAAAATACAGGGTATAAACAGTCAAATCACAATAGGAAACTTATTTCCCCCAAGAACAGATTACGTTGCATTTAATCTTCCTCCTCGCCTTCATCATCGGCCTCTCGTTTTCTCTTCTCCCCCCGGGCTTCTTCTGTCAAAGCAAAGGGTTGGGGGTCAGAACAAGGGACATCTCTCTGCCCCACAAACTACCTCCCCCCATGCAGCCCCAAAGAGGAGGGCTTCTGGAATGGGGGCAAAGTATTGCTGCAAAGCAACCCACTTAGGTTTAAGCCCAATTTCCAGCTGAGCAATAGCACTTAGACTTATATACCGCTTCACAGTGCTTTCCAGCCCTCTCTAAGCAGCCTTACAGAGTCAGCCTCTCACCCCCCACAATCTGGGTCCTCATTTTACCCACCTCGGAAGGCTGGAAGGCTGAGTCAACCTTGAGCCTGATGAGATTCGATCTGCTAAACTGCTGGCAGCCGGTGATCAGCAGAAGTAGCCTGCAGGACTGCACTCTAACCACTGCGCCACCACGGCTCAGTGCTTAGAGCAAAGGCCAGGGCAGCTATGGGGAAAAGCAGCTTCTCCCGCCAGCCAAATTCAGCCCCACTTCCACAGGGAGCAAAGTTCCACTCTGCCCCTTTACGGTACAGGCTGCACCCAGCTGCTTAAACTGGTTAGCTAAGCACTGTTAAAAGCCCTGCACCATTTTCCTATATAAAATAGGTGCAAAGAAGAGGAATAAAATAAAAATATTAACCCAGAACTCTTTAATGCCCTTAGGGGCTATTTTTCATGCTTTTAATTTTAAATTAGCTGGTTGGTGTCTGTTTAATTCCAACGACATATTGAAGAGTTGCAGGCCACTCTATAAGCCCTCTAGTCAATAAACTAACTTTGTCCCAAAGAAATTCCCAGTCGCACCAAAAAGAAGCTACAGGCCTCGCGTTCCTCCTTCATATCTCACTTTTCCTCTGAAGAGCTCAAGGCAGGCTCACTGATTTCCCCCCCAAGAGCTTCCTTCTGAGGGAGTGGTTGGCTGATGGGGAGAGGCAAGCCTAGAGTCACCCAGAAAGCTCCCTGGCTGCAGGATGACTTGAACCTGGCTTCCAGGCAGAGCTTAACCCCACCACAGCGTTATCAGTTGCTCTCTCAGATCCGGGCTACTGTCCCGATTGTTTAGCCTTTAAAAGAGGGCAAAGGTTTTCTCAAAGTTTGTTTTGCACATACCAACTTCTTCTTCCTCTTCTTCATCATCTACTTCACCATCATTATAACCCTCTTCATCCTCCTGCCAGAGAGAAAAGGCAAAAGTGTTTTATTGCATCTAGAACGTGACTGAATTGGAAAAATTTAGTTTGCTTTGGAAGAGGAACTGCCATAACCATATTCGGTATGAGGCAATTATCTGCTCTGGCTGATCACAGATCGCACCACTCCGTCTGGTCTGATTCTCTCCCCAAGTATCTCCTCGTCTTACCTCTTCTTCTCCACTCACTTCTTCCTCTTCTCCACTCACATCCTCTTCTTCTTCTAATTCATAGTCTCCTAACTGAGCCTCTTCATCGTAGTCCTCTTCTATAAAAAGAAAACAGAAAAATCAAGCCAGTTTATCTCTTGTCCAATGAGAGAAGTCCATTCCATTTTCTTCTGGTCCCCCTCCTAAACCTTTGCTTTGTCTGTCCCAGGCCATCAAGTGCAAGAGCAACATTACAGTCAGGACCAGATGGAGTCCTGAACTTTTGCAGGAGGAATGGGGCAGTGTGTGTGTGTGCGCGCCACTAAGCATGTACAGAAATATCAGATTCCCACTCACCCTCCTTCAGCTATCTGAAAGTTGGAGCTATCAACTAAGAGTCTAAATTCTGCATCTTAGATATTGTGATCACCTGGAATCTATCCTAGGGGCAGAACGCTGTGCAAGCAGAAAACAGACAGGTCCCAAAGGCAGAAGAGAGGCATTTAACGAAACAAAAGAACAAAATAAAGAACTTGTTTTCAGCAATGAACAAAGTTGCTTCCAGGAAATCCAAAAGGAAGACCAAGAACATTAAGCAACCTATCATGTAGTTCTCCCACTTCTCTCACCTCATGCAAATTGAAGGAGAAATGCTCCAAACCAGCTAAACCTATTTAAAACAGCAAAACCACCCGGTGTTTTTATGAAGTGGAACATAACAAGAGAAAAGAAGTGCAGGTCAATTCAAAATATTTCTGAAGTTTAGTTTAATCAATGCTTACGTACCTATCATCTGCATATGTTTCATTTGTCAACTTTGCAAGGAATCTGCCTCTCCCGGAGCCTAAACTGGGAGGACAGGATTCCCCACCATCCCCAGGCCGATAGTTCCTTACTTGCGCATGGCACATTCTGCACTGTGTGATAGGACATGTCGCGAAAGTGCAGACTGTGCCACGCATTTAAGGGAACCATGACACTAAAAAGAGCATGGATATAAGAAGCCCCCTCTGGACTGGATCCAGAGGAGTCCATCTACTTGAGAGTCACTGATTTTCAAGCCAGCAA